CCAAAGCCTCCCATGTCCCCCCCATCCCCACTTACCCATCTCAGTGCCTCCCAAACCCTCCCGTGTCCCCGCACGTCCCCACTCACCCATGTGGGTGCCCCCCAAACCCTCCCGTGTTCCCACACATCCTCAGTCACCCATGTGGGTGCCCCCAAAAGCCTCCAATGTCCCTCCATGTCACCACTCACCCATCCGGGTGCCCCCCAAAGCCTCCCGTGTCCCCGCACGTCCCCACTCACCATGTGGGTTGCCCCCCAAACCCTCCCGTGTTCCCACACATCCTCAGTCACCCATGTGGGTGCCCCCAAAAGCCTCCAATGTCCCTCCATGTCACCACTCACCCATCCGGGTGCCCCCCAAAGCCTCCCGTGTCCCCGCACGTCCCCACTCACCCATGTGGGTGCCCCCCAAACCCTCCCGTGTTCCCACACATCCTCAGTCACCCATGTGGGTGCCCCCAAAAGCCTCCAATGTCCCTCCATGTCACCACTCACCCATCCGGGTGCCCCCCAAAGCCTCCCGTGTCCCCGCACGTCCCCACTCACCCATGTGGGTGCCCCCCAAACCCTCCCGTGTTCCCGGCGCCCTGCGGACACCCCGCGGCGTCACGCGCCCGGCACGCGCCCGGGACGGGGACAGGGACAGGGATGGGGACAGGGACGGGGATGGCAACAGGGCTCGGACTCACTGGCGGCGGCCCCGCCGCGGGGCTCTGCAGCAGCGCGGCCAGGATGCCGGTGTCACACGCCACGCACGAGTCACCCTGCGCAGGGACAAGGGCTCAGGCGGGCGGCGCGGACACCGCGTCGCCATCCCGGGTGGCTCGGAAGGACGCACGGACGCACTCACCTTCTCGCCCTTTATCCCGTTGATGCCGGGGTCTCCCTGCGGAGGAAAGAGAGGGACCCGGCAGCGGTGTCAACCCCCTCGCAAGCTCCAAGGGCCAGTCCCGCCCCCGGGAGCCAATTCCCTCCAGGAACAGCTCAGTCCCGGGACCATTGCTGGGGCATCGACCCTGCTCCGCAGAGGATGCTCCGTACGCGGCTCCGGCAGCACCTACCCTGTCCCCTTTGGGTCCGGTGGGGCCAGGTCTGTCCTGGAGATGGAAGAGCCAAGAGGGAGCATTAGGGAAGCAGAGAGACACCCTGGTGCCACCCTGTGTCCCCTCCCGCCACGCTGGGACTCACCGAGATCCCGTCCTTGCCCGGCGCTCCGGGCTCTCCTCTGGCTCCCGGCTGCCCGGGGAGCCCGGTGGCCCCGAGCGTCCCCACGGACACGGGACACGGCTGGCACGGCTCGCCCTGCCG